TTGAAATTAAAAAAACATCCTAATTTCAATAGAGAAGGAGGCTGGGCACTACCACCTGCTTGGGATCCTATAATTAATAAAATTAAAACTAAACCCAAGCATACCACTGCAAGACTTCAAAATACAGTTAGTTCATTCTGCGTAGATCGGACCAAAGACAATAATTAAAAAGCTGAAGGTACTCCGGGTTAACTTTGACATCGGGACGTCAGTCACCTCAGTCCCCCGTGACCATGGGTGCTGGAAAGCACCCGAAACGTCGGGTATTAAAATTAATATAAATAAAACGCGATAAAATCCCATACACGTATTTTATTTCTAACTTTACTATTCGCCGTATTTTTGTAGACCTCTTTATGTGAGACAGACCCCTTCTGTAACTCTGTAAGCTGAAACTCGGGTTAGTGAGAAACCTCTATAAGAGAAAAAGAGATCGCGGTGCCTTGAGCTCTCACTTATCCAGGTTTGACTGTATTGATATATTTAGTTAAATAAATATATATTTATAGGTAATTAAATCTGGGGGCACGGCAGTGCCCCCGCCAAGTCCAGCAAAAATTCGGCACGGCCGTACCATACTTTTCTCGAAGCAATTCAGGCCATTTTCAACCCGCTATAACTTCGTTGTGGATATAACTAGAAACCTGAATTTTCAGAAATCAAGCAGGAATTGTATAGACAAGGTATATTTCAAATTTCATTCAAATTGAACCATTAGTTTATTAATTATAATTAGTCAAAGTTTCTTAATTTTGTCACTCACTGACTGACCGATCATCAAAACTCTAAGGCACTTCTAGCGGATATAGAAGCTTCAAACTTAGATCACAATTAGTGTTTAGTGTATAAATTAAGGAAAAACTAAAATATTTTTCAATTTCGGTAAACATAAAGGATTTTTAATATTGATATGGTCACGAGATATTGTTATTTTAGCTAATTACGTAATATCTTAAGACAGAAAGACCCTTAAGTAAGGACCGAATACATTAACCGACTTGGTATATACACGGATCTCACAACTTTTTACAATAGAAGAACTGAGTTGCTAGACTTGGTTTTTTTACAAGTTATGTTTTTAATGGCATCTTATTTTTCAGAGAGTATTGTTAATACTTATTTTCGTATATTATACATACACTAACTCTCACATTGGAAATGTTGCACATACTTATATACTCAATCTCAATCCATAGAATTTTGGTTCAGAATAAAATTCAAGGGAATGGATTTTGATTAGTAAAAGAAGATTAGGAAGAGCCGTGCAAATGAGACGAAATTTGGCGAAAAAATCATATTCATGTTTACTTTAAAGGGTAAATCCAAAAGTGGAATATGCTATGATTATGAAAAGAAATGACTCTTTATTATAGTTAACTTAGTTTTTTAACTAAATATACCAAGGGAAGTATATCATTTGACGGGAATCGGGAAATATCAACACATGAAGACGCAAAAGCAAATCCTCGACGCTGTAGCTAAATAAGCCACGTAGATAAAGTATTATTGTATAATTGTTACGTTATGAAAAGTATTTTCGCTTGTGGCCATTTATAATTCTGCACAGCGCAATAACAAAACAGTGAGTTAATTAATGAGACAGTCCACAGACAGTCAATATAAAAATGTTCGTGGTACGACTTGATACAACGACACTTTAGTGCGCATTTTTATTATTAGGGTGGTTATGCTACGTAGGTCACTCAATAAGTTTTGAGATGCTCGAAATTTAAAAATGGAATGCACCCGTGTTATATGTTTCTAAAACGCAAATTTAATTAAAAATAGAACTCCATAAGCCTCTTGCTATATTAAAAAAAAAATTTAATGCAACGCTTCCTGCGCTTTTCATTGACATCGAAAACATTGTAGACATTAGTTCGGGAAGCATTCATACCTTCCTTTTCCTACATCAACATCTTGGAGTGAGGAAGCTTTGTTGTCGATGAATCTCTCGTTTGCTCTCCGAAAGCGAAAAACAGAGTGGTGTGGATTAGTGTCATGAAAATGAAATGCGTCTACGTTTTGAAAACGGGGCATTAAGGCATTTAGGCATGTTTCAGAAATCGTTACTGGTGACGAGACATTTATCTATCAATATGATCCGGAAAATAAAAGGCAATCATCGGTATGAGTCTACTAAGAAGGACAGTTTTTTTTTCGCGGAGCGGACATTTGTCGAGGTCAATGCTGGAAAATTGTAGGTCAGTCAACTCTGAATGGTTTACTACAGCTGCATTATCCAAAGCATTTCAAGCAGTGTGGGATAGAAGACCAAAGAGCGGTTTCGGGGAATCATGCTGCATCACGATAACGCCTCTTCACATACCTCCCTTAGAACAAAAGCATTTATTGAGGAATCTGGTGTTGAAACTCTATGTCACCCACCCTACAGCCCTGACTTGGCTCTTTATGATTTATTTTTGTTCCCAAGAGTCAAAGAAAAAATAAAAGGCAAGTTTTTTTTAAGCGCCGAAGAAGCCGTGGCTGCCTACGAAGAAGCGATTTCCGACCTATCAGATCAAGACTGACAAAAGTGTTTTCAGAGTTGGTTTAGGCGAATGGAACTTTGTATAGATATAGCATGATGGAGAATATTTTTAAAAAATATGTAAAATAAATAATAATAGTATCTAGAATAATTTTTGTAAACCTCAAAACTTATTGAGTGCCCTAAGTACTGGTTTTGACCGGTCGTCTGTCGGCATTTTCGTAAATGTTTATATGAGAAGTAAGTTCTTACACGATACTATTTTACGATTTACGATACATTATACCTGGTAGAGCCACGCTGCAGCTACGAGTATATTGTGGTTTTAATGGAAAAACTGTGCTCCCACGGAATACTACCGTAAAATATCGGCTTATAATTCTGCTGTGTTTTGTATGGCCAGTGTAGAAGGCGGAGATCCTTTTTACTGGAAACGAGGTATTGCGTCTTAGTGATCAGGGGTGACAACATCTATCTATCACGCCTTGCATATATCCATTTTAATAATTCGTTAAGAATAAGGTTGATAAGCGAGCACACAGCCTACCTTACGGTGAGTGGATGCTCTGGCACGTAGACATCTATATCTATCCTTGATTAAGTATCAAAATGCAAATGCAGATGCCTTGAAATAATACTAGTTTTTAAGGAATTTATCGTGTATATTTAACTTACCATAGATTAAAATTTAACTTTTGTTCTGTGTAGATCGGAACAAAAGTTAAATTTTAATCTATGGTAACCGCGGTTAACTATGACATCTGGACGTTGAACATCTCAGTCCTTCCCGTGACCATGGGTGCTGTAAAGCTCTCGAAACGTCGGGTATTTAAAAAGTTAAATATACGCGATAAATTCCGTAAAAACTAGTATTATTTCAATGTGTAGTGTTCGCGCAAATATAAGAAATTATTATGCAGATGCCTTGTTACACCTGAGGACTAATATGGGATGCCTTGTAACCAGTAAACGTGAACGTATCAAACCCGATGAATATGTGGCCGATCGAATACGTGTCCAATGATTCTATAATCTAATAATACGAATATGTTAACAGCACGCTTAAACGAAAAACTGGGGCAATAGTAATGAAACACATCAGTCACGGGCACAGTAATGTTTAAAATGAATGAACATCTTTGATCGCCTCATCATCACCGCCCGTGCGCTTACGACATCACATTTCATTTAACACAATTTATTTTCTACTATTATATACTAACTTAAGTTCTAAAATTCGGCCAACCGAATATTATCATGACCAATTGATTGTATTCATAATTAAATTACAATCAAATGTATTCAATTCCGACACAATATGATAATGTACATAAGCAGCTTTTACATACATGTATAAATTTTATAAAACTCCTTAATAATTAGTGAAAATAATATTAATTTAAAGCGAATAAAAGTAGGAAAGCTGTACAATGGAATGATTTATCCGATTATTACTCGTCTATTGCATATCAGGTACTGAAACATGTTCACAAGAAACTTGTGACAAATTGCTACGAAAAATAACCAACATCTCACTAAAGTTCCTAACATTAATTGCCAAGTATTTGCCGTACGGCTCGACAATATTACATGATAAACAACTCAGTATCTATTTAGATTTGTTAATTATTATAAAACTAAAAGCCAACGCTTTCGTCCGACTTTATTGCCCATTGCCCATGACATTGGCTATAGAGATTTATATATTACAATTCAGTTCAACGAAGCACTACAACTCGCGGCTAGTCTAGCGGTGACCGTTTTCGCACATAATTGGCCGTATTACGCATTATCGTCGGTCGAATCACGAAGGGGCGTATCCCACAAATATTCGATTTTTAGTTATCTCCACCATCGTAATCTATAAGGCAAGTTTTATAGCGTCACGAAAGGGCGTAATTTAAAACACACCGGAAACAGATTTACAAACAATTACGAAAAGCCCTATCTGCTATTCATCCCAATTTAAAAATCACGAATAGTCGTATCCACCAGTTACGCCTATTCTTACCTGTTCCCATGCAATTTTTTTTCACGAAGAGGCGTAACCTATCTAACGTGATTACGCGAGTGAAACAATGACAGGTCAAGACGTGTTAAGCAGTCGAGCGAAGTTAGTTGCAAGTTAATAAGGTGCATTGTTTGTTTACGAATATTAAAATTAATAAAATTCTGTCTTCAAAGTGAATGAATACTTATTTTAAGAGTTACTTTTATTTGTGTTTTATACAAATCACAAGGTTATTTTACAGTAATGTACCTATTGCTTTTAAACGCATAGTTACCTAAAAGATGAATTAATATTTTAGGTTAAAATTTTAGAAAAGTTATTTATTTGTTATTGCAATGTTTTGTTACCTAAACCATAGTTTAAATAATATGCAAGTTACAATGTCAGTGTTTAACTATTCCTAAATGTGACAGTGTGTAATTAATTTTCTTATTTACGGTTAAATTATTCTTTACAGATACCTACTATCTACTTAACTTTCTGTGGGATGGTTTTTCAATGATGGACGTGTTAGTTACATGGAAAGATGGCACTCAAAATGTTGTACACACACGGGAATTATTTCCAATCAGAAAAGGTCAGAAGATAACACTTGGTACAAAGGTGAAAATGTTGTATGAACGAAAATGGTGGTATGGTACAGTAACTGTTGTCGAAGCAAAAGAATACTCTTCGTCTGAAGACGAACCACTTTCAACTTATGTTCCTGCAAACCGTGTGCAAAATTACACATTCATATATTATTCATACATTAACTGTCATAATCCTATTTTGACTACTTGTACGGAATGTGCTTGTTTCTTGTGCGCTGAACATTACCAAGAAGACGCTTCCTGCTCTAATCATATTTTAGTTAGCAATAACATATCCACATCAAAAAATCAGGATACCAGCTATGAATTATCATTAACCAATTCAGAAAAAAAAATTTATGATACAGTATGCACTGATGAAAATTATATAGATATACAGAATGAATACCAAAAATGCTGTCAGTTTTCGATTTGTACTGATGAGGTATTTAGTGCATGCCATCGTTGTTCATGTCTCCTTTGTTATGAACATTTTGTCAACAATTGCTCTACCTGCGAAAATCATCTAAACTTTGAAGCTGACTTGACGTTAACAGAAACTTTAAAATTTGATTTTGGGCAAACTGATATGCAGCAGACTTGTGAATATGCCAACTGCACTAACCCTGTACTAACGACATGCTTTGCTTGTTCTTGTTTACTGTGTGATATTCATTTTGCGTCTGTGCTTTATATGCAATCATGTTCTGATCATAAAAAAAATCCAGCCTCGCTTGCTGATTTCGATATTACCGAAATTGAGAATGTTTCAAATGATTCTGATGCAACTATGGTCTTATCTGACACTCGCGACTCACCCAGTATTTTAATGCAGAATACAGTTTTGGAACCACAACAAGACAGTTATTTGGCCCCAGAAGACTTTATAGTAGATGGCGTTTCCCGAGAGGAAGAAAGATCGAAACCTGTTAGAAAAAATAAATACAAAGAAGCCAAGGTTTTGCGACACGCAGGACAAGAATATATTTCGCCATATACAAAAAAAGTAGTTCCTGGAAGGAAGGTTGGTTCATTATGCAATAATTTAGAAAATTGCACAAAGCAAGGCCTGTACTGTTATCGTTTTAATGAACAAATACGCGAAAATATATTTATGGATTTCTATTCATTAGCAGATCTAACTTTGCAAAGAGAATATATAGTGAGATTTGTTGAAAAAAAGCCCGTAGGACGCAAAACTACTGCCACAGAATCTCGTCGGAAGTTTACCAACTGCTTTTACTTACCATTAAATGATGAGAAGCAGAAGGTATGCAAGAAAATGTTCCTCAATACTTTGGGAATTTCAGAAAAGACGTTTCGCACAGCTTTGCAAAAATTAAAGAACACCGGTGTAGTAGAAAAAGACAGAAGAGGAGGAAGGCAAGAGGTCTATCATGAAAGGGATACTCAGCTGCGATCACTCATTACTGAACATATTAACAGATTTCCGCGTGTTGAGTCTCATTATTGTAGAAAAAGTAGTACAAAAGAATATCTCCACCATGATTTATCTTTGAAAAAAAAAATATGGTATGTTTTTAAAGGAGTATAACCAACCCGTAAGTATGACACTTTATAGAAATGTATTCAAAGGCATGAATTTATCGTTCCATAAACCAAAAAAAGACCAATGCAGTTTATGCATGACATACAGAGAAGGTACAAGCGAGGTGAAAGAGAAGCTGCAGAATAAATATGATGCACATATTATAGAAAAAGAAGAAGTACGACGAATTAAAAACGAATGCAAGAATCGAGCAATACAAAATATAACCACTTGTTGTGCTTCGTTCGATTTACAGCAAGTCATCTATTTGCCACAATCCAATGAAAGTGCTCTTTTTTATAAAAGACGTTTGGCTAATTATAATTTCACAATTTATGATTTAGCCTCCAAAGACTGTATATGCAACTTATGGAATGAGACAATCAGTAGAAGAGGTGCCTCTGAAATTTCTACTTGTGTTTATTATTTCTTAACAAATTGTGATAGAAAGAGTGTGAAAGAAGTATTCTTATTTTGCGATGGCTGCTCAGGCCAGAATAAAAATTCCGTGATGGCGGCTATGCTCTTATACTTAATAAATAATTGTGAATCTATTGAAGAAATTAGTTTACGATACTTCTGTTCGTTCCATGGGCAAAGCGAGGGCGATTCTGTCCATAGCGCGATAGCATTTGCAATGGCAAAGGCTGGGAACGTCTTTGTTCCATGCCAATTGGAGCCGATCATACGATTGGCACGCAAAAATCCATACGAAGTCAAGGTACTCAATTACAATGATTTTAAGGATTTTAAAAATCTTGCCTTAAAGTTAAGGTTACTTAAATTAAAAAACGATAACCAGACAGCCGCCCTCTTTAAATGGACAGATGTTATGGAGTTAAAAGTCTCACGAAAGTCTCAAAGTAGTCTATTTTTTAAAACGAGTCACAAGGATAAAGAATACAGATCGATATCAATAAAAAGACAAGATGTTAAATGGCTGAAGGAAGAGGTGGGACATTTAAATAAATCTCATTATGAGATATCTAAAGAAAAATATAACGATTTAATTTCTATGTGCAGGGGAGAGACCCCTTTGATAAGATGCCGGGAATATCAAACTTATTATGAAATCCTACCACATCAATAAGATATTGTTCCATTACTTAATATTACAGTCTTTCTTTATTTAATAGTGTTTTAATTTATAGTCTTTTATTTCTTTTATAGTTAAGATAGCCGGACGTAAATGTTATTTTGAAATATTTGCACATGACAAAAGGGCGTAAGTGAATTTTTTTTCAAAAAAAAAGGAAATATATCTACAAGTAACTAAAGTAAACTAATAAACTAATTTAATATCAAAAGAGGATTAGTTATCAATCCTAACGACAGTCCTGTAAACTGCGTAGTAGTTTTACATATAAAGTTACGACGGTGCATCACGGTGGACTTTATTGAAAATCGCTCTACTGTAAAATTGACTAAAATCACTTACGCCCCTTCGTCATTCGACCGACGTTATTGCATATGATTGGCTGTGTGTATATCGTACGCACGCGCTGATTGGCTTTCCAGACGCATTCCGTCCCCAATAGTGATACGATATTCGCAGTTATCATCTCCACGTTTCGTTCAGCGCTAGAGTTACTTTCCGCGAGTTGTACAAAGATTAGCAATTTAACTTTTTTAATTTAGCAAATATATTATAATATTATGTATATACTGTTGTTTACTGTGGTTTCAAAGATCTTACAGGCATTTCCCATGTAATGAGATGAAGTGGCCACTCTGGAAACATCACCACACAACCCGTAAATCTAAACACTCAATTATACTTGAAAACTTTGCTTTTTGTATTTATTTAAATTAATATTCATTACATAAGTAGTTCAATCTAGACAAGGAACTCTACTTGACGGATTGGTGATATAAAAGCTCTTCTATTCCGTTTTACACAGCAGATAATATTGATTATTGTATCATCCTTGAAGCATATTAAAGGTGTCTTTGACCGAGTGACCTAAATGTTATAAAGGTCACACTCTCTAGGACACTAACTAAAACACGCTCCGCGTGGAAAAGATGCCAACAAGCTAAATTCAAATTGCAATAACACAAAAAATAAGACGACATAAATTTAAGCCATTCTGAGATAAAATAAAACTATGCATACTTAAATTATGCTAATGGATGATATTTTAAAGGATTCTCTCATTTCACCTTCATTCAATACGTGTTGCTAAACGAGCAGTACCAATTCCAGTGGTAGGTTTCAGCCGTCGGCTTTTCAGTTACCACCAACCAATGCAAAGTCGTGTCGCCAAATGACGTCGTGTTCCGGCATGATGCTTGCTAAAGCCATATGGCAAATGAGTGTAAACAGTATCATTGTGTGTGTGAACCGGATGCGAAGCGTCAGCGTCAGCGAATAACTGCAGTTATTGCTGGGTTAGGTGCTTGGTCGTAGAGGATAGCGGGATCCGAAACACGGTGTACCGTTGTTACCGCAGGGTGGCTCCGTCGTGCCAGTTATCGACCGAGCAAGAGGGCCCGATGGCGACCTCGGAGGGTTCGGGCGTTTCCGCAGTCTCCACACCAAGTTCCCACGGGTGCAGTTACTCTGATCATATCGTTTGGCTGCCAATACAACGCCTCGTTCAACTGCCATTCTCCATTCTTATTTATTATTAACTCCTATGTGCCTTAAAATGAAAAGTTGGACTAAAAAGTGGTTGCAAGTCGCTTCCTTAAAAGTACATCTCTCTAATATTCGAGGATTGTACTCAAATCACAGCGCAGTTCATCACGATCTCGAGACTGAGAAGCTGCGCCTACTTTTCTTGATGGAGACTCAATTTGGATGCCCATTGAAGCGAGATGTCCGGCAGTAGATTCTCCCTAGAGCACAAATTCCATCTACGTGCCGGAGTCCGTGTGTATATCCTCAATAACACCTGCTTCATACGTCTCTGTCACCTTGGAGACACCACTTTTTCGATAGTCTGGGTGATGGAAAACAGGTATGGAAAAATCCTTTATGCCTGTGTCTGCCGATTGCACACCGGTGACCAGGAGATAACTCGATTATTTGATCACCTGAGCGAGGCTACTGTTGTAAAATCGATACTGCACAGGTAGTCTTTCCGGGGGACTTTAACGCCAGTCACCAAGATTGGCTGTTCCCATACCAGGAGACCGATGATCCTGGAAGAGAAGTATGGAATTGTGCAATTTGTAAGCGACTAGGGTACTCGATGTGGACGGTCACACATCTAATTGATTGGACCTTCTGCTGACTACTGAACCAGCCAGATATGACGTACAGGTTACCTCCCTTTAGATACGTCTGGCCACCGTCTGGTGAAATCTATATCGCCATATTTTTCACCTGATTACGAATCCCAACTCGACCATCTTCGTCTACATCACCACTTACAATCAAGTGAGATTGTAGTTAAGCGTTGACTTAGAATAATGAAAAAATTGTATGAATGGTTAAATGACATTAACTTGCTGCTATGTATAGCGTAGGTGGTCTGAAATGTTTCCGACCTAATAAAGATACAAGACATTTTTTCTTTTTTTCCTTTTCTTTTTCTACATAGTCTCCTTGTAACTCGAAACACTTCTTCCAGTGATGCTCCCGCCTCTCTAACCCGTCCAAATAGTACTCGACGTTTTTCTCTGCAAAATAGTTGTTCACGAAAGTGATTGCCTCCTCATTCGATGAAAATCTCTGCAATTTTTAGATAAGGAAACAAAAAGAAGTCGCTTGGGGCTAAATCTAGTGAGTAAGTTTTCGCCATGGCAACTGCTGAAAGGTGAGACGGCGCGTGAAATAGGATAGGATTTTGTTTTTTTTTTAGTTTATCGAGTAACGATACGTAGTGTACTAGTGTAATGGTTTTTCCGTTTTGAACATAAACGATTAAGATAACTCCATGACTATCCCAAAAAACAGTCGCCATCACTTTCCCAGCCGAAAGGATTATTTTTGTTTTTTTTGGAGCCGGTTCCCCTTTTGCAGTCCACTGTGTTGAATGTATTTTTGTTTCGGGCGTATAATGGTGTATCTAAATATCATCTACAGTAAATAATCGACGCCAAAACCCGGATTTATTGCGCCGAAACTGCGCCAACAGAGCGTTAGAAATGTTTATTCAAACACGTTGGTAAATCTTGATTTAATATGTGACTAACACGTTTTTTGAACATCTTCATAGCCTCTGCTATCTCTCTCACTTTAATTCGGCTGTCGTCTAGCACCTTTTTGGTGAATTTTAGCGATGTTATCGTCAGTAGTTGCAATTTTTGGACATCCCGATCCCGAACGTTCATCGTTTTCCAAGCTCTCACGGCCACGTTTAAATTCAGCTGCCCAAAATTTCACTGTGGTAAATGATGATGCAGAGTCCCCAGTGAACCAGTCGTAACACAAGCAAATTAAGCTTACCACGAGTGGTTAAGGGGAATATTAGTAATGTTTATAGCATTGCTAATATTCTTTAAAAAAAAAGATGGGTAAAAGAGACCACGTATAAGATAATTGATGTTTATTACTATTATTCGGAATTTTATAATATATATCAGCATATTAATAGAGGGCGACATAAATTAAGAAAAATTTTAAATGTTTAAATCTAATTATAAAAATTAATGTTTGTTTGTTCGTATTTTATACGCTGCTGATCAGATTGCGTTAAAAATTTGTCAACTTATACGTAGTGATGCAACGGAAGTGTCATATCGCATATCGGAAGCAGAAACGGAAACAGATTTTAAAAATATTTTTTGCAGAAACGGAAACAGAAACGGACGCGGAAACGGAAATAATACTTTTTTAAAAAATTACAAATAAAACTTTTAATTATCATTCAAAATTAAGTAGCGGTAAGTTATATTTTATGAAAAGTAGTTCGGCCGCTTTTACACCTAACAATCTGTTCCAGTGTTCTTCATATATAATTCCAGCTCCGAAAAATAATAGTTATTGCTATAGCAATTTTTGCTCACTGGCGATGCTGCGTACCACCTATACAACAAAGCTAAATTGGCACTGGAATTTAGGCAAACCCTTAAAAGAGCCACATTTAGGTTTAGCGAGTAGGTAATTTAGTAAAGCCCTAGCACGAAAGTATGACGTAAATAAACTTTGAATCCAAAATACTCATTAAAATTTCTTTAAAAATAATTATACCATTAAAAACATAACTTGTAAAAAAACCAAGTCTCGCAACTCAGTTCTTCTACCGTAAAAGTTGTGAGATCCATGTAATACCAAGTCAGTTAATTTATTCAGTTCCTACTTAAAGGTCCTTCTATTTTAAGTTATTACGTAATTAGCTAACCTAACAACATTTTATAGGGACCATATCAATTTTAATAGTCTTTTATGTTTTAAATATATAGATTGACTTGGCCATCGCATGAAACCACAATGTATCTCACAAGTAATACGTATTACATTAAATTAGATTGCTTAATGCGATTGCCAAGTCAATCTATATATTTAAAACATAAAAGACTATTAAAATTGATATGGGCCCTATAAAATGTTGTTAGGTTAGCTAATTACGTAATAACTAAAAACAGAAGGACCTTTAAGTAGGAACTGAATAAATTAACCGACTTGGTATTACATGGATCTCACAACTTTTACGGTAGAAGAACTGAGTTGCGAGACTTGGTTTTTTTACAAGTTATGTTTTTAATGGTATCTCATTTCTATTTGTATATAAGATAGTCCTAATTTTTTTACCTTTCCGGTACCGTCTACTTCTTGAGTACCAACAACGTACCTATGTACACCTGTAATACATATACAAGTACACAGATTCATTCACTGCAAATGTAACTTTGTAATTCTATATATTTACATGGGATTACAAAGTTATTTATGCAGTTAGTCTATCTAAAAAACTGGACAGAAATTAACAAATGTTTTAGTTTTTCCTTGATTTATACACTAAACAATAATTATATTCTAAATTTGAAGCTTCTATGTCTGCTAGAAGTGCCTTAGAGTTTTGATGATCGGTCAGTCAGTGAGTGACAAAATTAAGAAATTTTGACTGGTTACAATTCTTAAAATACTGGTTCAAATTGAATGAAATTTTAAATATACCATTTTTATGCAATGCTTACTCG